TTGAACTTTGGTCTTCCTCAGCCTTGAGCTGTGATCTCTAGTGGGACGGACATCTGCCAGCTCCAGGAATGAACACTCCACTGATGTTCTAATCTCTCTGGGTAACTGAGGTGCCAGGGATCAATTAACTGACGGGCAATTATTTACGATTTCACAGCCATTGATTTTTTATTGAAAACTAATTTAAAAATGCTTCAGTTTCACTGTGGTTTATACTGGACACTGTTGTAGTTATTGAAAATGATATGAAAAACAAGCAGCAGAACCAAAGAAGCCTACCTAACCTTACCTAACTTCCTGACTATGGGGCTCAACCCTCCAGACCCCCCCGGCATATTAAAGAGAAAGAAATTACTATGGTGTAATTTTACGTTTTTTGTGGACGTGAAAGCAGCCACCTGATCTGTGACTTTTAAGCATACACCGCATCACGCTGAGAAAGACATAGTAGTCTGCGCCAGACAAAGTAGTGCATACCTTGTCACCATATTATCTACCAAATGAAGCAATTTAAAAAAAATTATTATCATATCAGAACTCACTGATGAAACCATAGTAAGAATATATACATCAAAACAAATAACGAGTCTGCTGTGAAGTTGTTTATATGAGCCAACTCATGCCTCTAGCATATCGTGGGAAAAGACATTACAGTGAACCCTCAAAGATCCGGACTAAAAGGGGGGACCACCTGTCTGAAAAAGCCGATTGTTCGTATCTTTCTGTGAATGTACTAAATGTATGAAAACGATAATTAATTATCTAAAAAAACACCAAAAATACAGTACAGGTACCGTATTTATGGCCTATAATTATTATTTATTTTTATTTTTGATTTTTATTATAAATTTTATTTACTATGAATTATTATTATTACAGGGGTATTATTATTATTACATTATTATTATTACTAATATTATTATTAATATTATTACATTTTTGTCCCCCCCAGGCCCTGATGTGGATCAGTGACCTGTGCCCGGGTGGGAGTATCTAGGAAAAAACTTTTGTGTGCATTTGTCTCCTGTAGCTATAGTTTTCTTAACATACAGGGGGTCCCTGGCTTATGAACGGGTTCCGTTCCTGAGGATGTTCTAAAGTTGGATTTGTACATAAGTCAGAACACATGCTATGTGCATACCATACTTACAGAACACTGTTTAAAATCCCACTATATTTTTACGGGGAATAGCCCACCCGGTCACAGGTCATCGATCCACAATGGGGCCTAGGGGGCGAAAAAATAAAGAGTATAACAAGAAATTAAATATAGAAAACAAAAAGATTATATTAATGTACACCACAAAGATACTGGAAAACCAGCTTTTTGAAGTGAGACATTGTATGAGCACGGAAACACAGAAGAAGGCAGAGCATTCCATGGTTTGGCTGTGTGAGGAAAGAAGGATGCACTGTAACGAGTTACTCTAGTGTGACCGACATCCACAGAGAAACAGTGGGGACTGCGGGCAAGACGTGTGTTATGAGCCCACAGTTTTGCTGACAGTACACAGGATGCCAAATCCACTGAACTTTGCTTGTTAAAGTACCTGTAAAAGAGAGAGAGTGAGCAACATTGTGGTGAAGAGAAAGGGAAGAGGGATTATCAATTAAAGGAGGCGAGTCAATAAGACGAAATGCCTTTGATTCCACCCTATCTAACAGTTGGACAGAAGAGCCACCCTAGACATGAGAGCAGTACCCCAAGTTAGGACGAATGAATCCCTTATAAACTTGAAGCAACTTCTCGGGAGTGAAGTAGTTATGGCATCTGTACAGCATTCCCAGCTTACTGGAGGCAGCTTTAGCAATGTTGTGGATGTGTGGCTTCCATGACATTTTAAAGGAAATGGTGAAGCTTAGCATATCTATTTTAGAATTTGGCCTAAGTCCTTATACAGTATACATCTAAAATCACTTAATTTAAGACAAAAGAAGAAATAGAAAGACGAAATGCAGTAAATGAAAGTACAAAAATAAGTCATCAGGTAAATAAAATACTGTAAATTTCAAATTTAACCCCATTCGTATCGGCGAGTGTTTAAGTCGTACACTCGTAAATCGGGGACCCCTTGTATACAAGATCAGGAAATGTGAGGAATAAATAAAGATAATACCAATAATTAAGTTACACCAAAAAATACTGTACTTGTATTGCCAAATCAATAAATAAAAGCCAAATGAAAGTTTAACATACAGTAGTTGCCAATTGCATACACTCCCAGCTTCATCATAGTAACGAAGACCAGCTGGGAGGCCGATTCCCTGGCAACGCTCCCCACCCCCTACACTCTGTGCTCTCCTCCCATTAGTTGTTTGCCTGTAGGACAATTATTTCTTTTACTTTTTTTCACAATATGTATGTAGGATGGTGTGTGCATGTAATTGAGTAAAAATAAAGGAAGAAAGTTATGAATACTGTATTTACCTGAAAATACTGTGCAAGTTGAAAAATAACCATAACACCTTGTAGCTTGGCCGAGTAGCCTGATGGTTACAGTGACGAGTCTAACCTGGCTACAGTGCCATGATTAATCACTATTAAGCACTATTATATCAGTAAACACTAATAATAACAGTAAATCCAACGCAATATAGCAGGGAGCGAGGGGAGTTACAAGGGCAGATGACGTTCTAACTAGTGGTCACCCATTTGCTCCCGTTTCCAGGCGTACGATCGAAACACATAACGGAGAAATACATATTTTGTAGTTTAATTTAAAAACGGTTATGGGCCCAGTGATAAACAAATTTTATAAACCATGCATTTACCTGTGATAGCATAATAACAAACATTGTATCATTACTTGAGTGAATGAAATAATATTCCCACAAACAGCAATTGACAACTCTGTTTATGTTTCCTGCCTCAGGCACCTACATCCCGCGTGCTGACATTTTAGTTACACGGGACTATGATGATCTTTGCACTGTTAGCCCTCGGAACCCCCAAATTTTGTCCGAATCATCCAAAATGTGGATTTACCAGGTCTGAATCTTTGAAGGTTCACTGTATGCCAAATGGGAAAGCACCTCACTGTTGGAGAGTGTTATGAGAGAAGGACTGTCTAGATATCTGAGCAACCCTCTTATAATGATTTGCTAGCTAATTTGCTTGATTCACTGTCTTCTTACAATCGTCCGAGAACTTCAGTTCATTGTCAACATACACACCCAGGTCCTTTTCACATTGGGTCTCTGTTAATGCATTTTTGTTCGTTTTGATGGGTCATGTGATACGCCTCCTTACTTTTGGTACAACTTATTTGCATCCTCTTACACTTCATGACATTGACCACTTTTGAAGCTTAGAGATAACTTTCTGTAGCTCTTTACAGTCCATTTGGTTCTTAATTTCCCAGAATAACTTAGCATTGTCCACAAACTTTTGTATGGAGGACTGTATAGCTTCTGGCATGTGGTTTATGAAACAAACAAACAACAATGAGCCCTGTACACTGCCTTGTGGTAACTTGCTTGTCATGGGTATGCATGACGATTTCATGCCATCAATCACCACACACTGCTTGCTTAATTTTTAGCCTTTCATTGGGTACGCTGTCAAAAGCCTTGGCAAGTTCCAGGTATACGAGTATATTGTTGATATTGCCAACACTTTCCAGAATCTGAGTCGAAACATCCCATCTTAAGTAAGTGTGTCAAGCAGGAGCATCCCAGCATAAAACCATGTTGGCAGTCTTTTATATGGTTGCTTTGTAGTAGTTCACCTATTATAATGCTCTCTAATACTTTACACACAATGCTGGTCAGGCTCACTGGCACATATTTTGAACCTTTAACTTTGACACTGTTTCTACAGTACTCTCTTCTGGGAAAATAATGTGCATCAGTGTTGTGTCAAACCATGTTTACTTAAACACAGGAAGCTTGTTCACATCCTCCCTTGTGAACACTGAGGCAAACAATTTGTTTAACAGTTCCAACTTGTCATGATCTGAGTGTGCCTAACTACCACACAGGGGGCGGATACAGGAATATCAATAGGAAGGGGTCCAAGAAGTTTTGAGTGGGGGAACCTGGCAAGCAAAACGAGCCCACCCTGCTGGGGTTTTTATGGGGCGCTGTAAGCCCCCCCAGAATTGTGTTTAAATCTGACCAATATAATGGTCATTTTGAGGCCATTTTGAAGCCATGTGCACTTGATATTAGGAGGTCAGTGGTAATTGCTTTTTACTACACTGTACTAAAATGCCTGAGTACAATACAGTGGTCCCTCGGTTAACGAGCACAATCCGTTCCAGCAGGTTGCTCGTTAACCGAAACCATAGTTTCAATGGGTTTTTGGGTAATTGGTTCCAGCTCACCAAAAATTGCCTAAATTCAACAAAAAAGGTAGAAAAGTACACTTACTTTGAGGTGTGTATGTAGAAGGCTTCTGGATGATGATGATAATGATGATGGGAATTAGAATGGGGGTGGAGGAGAAGGAAGAAGAGAAGGCATTGGGGTGGAAGAGAAGTCACCCCATGGCACCATTTCACCCATAAAATTTTAGTTCTCTTGGTGTATTTCAAGATTATTTTCTTTAAATCAACACTGCACTGCATTATATATTGTCAATATGTAAAATATATTTCAAAATGACCAATAATTTGCTTGGAAACACAGAAAAAAGCGTTTAGTTGAAGAGAGTCTCAAGCAAGATGTTACCTCCAGTGAAAACAGAGAGAGACTAACGCCTGTTTGCTGTGTTAAGAGGCTGGATGCCGCGCATTAAACTAGTCACTTTACCTTCAATTATGTTCAATAATTGTTAAAATGACTAAAAAATTGAATATTAAACTTTTAAGATTATTGAATAGTATAAACTTCTTGATATTTACTAAAATAGTAAGGAATTTAAGCCCTAGAACCGATTAATGTATTGGCGGACTGATACTAAAGCTGGTTGCCCAGCCAGTGCAAGCGAAAACATGTTGAGGTTGGTTCGTAAGAAATTCGTTAACCGAACTTTTGTTCGTTAACCGAATTGAAGATCCTTTTGGAAGGCAGTTCGTTAACCAAAATTTCGTTAACCGAGGCGTTCGTTAAACGAGGGGTCACTGTATCTCGTTTTGGCAAATTTTGTTTTTTCATGTGAAATTTGAGACCTAAAATTGGTACATTAAGGCAGGCGAGGCGATGAGGACCTGGTAAACACTATGTTAGGAGTTGATAACACTGTTCACACAATGGCTTTCGGCAAACTTTCAGGCCAAAAATGTATCAGGTTTTGTGTGAGGGTTAGGTTATGTTAGGTTGGGTTAGTTTATATTAGGTTATGTGTTTTTAGTGTTTTCCCTCAACTTTAAAGCCCTGCCCACTCTTGTGGGATTTAGTATTCTTTGGGAAAAGGGCCCATATATCTCTGAAACTACAAATTTCCCCCTCGAAAATACCGTAATATCACCACTGAACACAACATAATAGAAAAATGGTCTGGAAAAAACGAATGTTTATGCTAAAATCATCTGCTGGTGTTATTTGGATTATTGCCCAAAACTTATTACTTACCTAAAAAATACTGTACTGTATAGCAAATCAGGTGGAGGAATAACACTTTTCTTATTCAGGTTCTGGACCTTCTTGAATTGAATTTATTGAATAAAAATTCATGCAGTATATTACATGACTATGCATACATATAATGTACGTACAAATATTTACAAAGGATAACACAAAGTACAGTGTGGTATTATATTAATACAGTACCTGTACTGTACGTATTCCCAATATGGTCTTCAAGACATAGTTCAAAATGACTGCTGGCAGCAAGGTGAAAGAAAATAAGATACAACAAGACAAAGTTAAAATTTAGTTAGAAACATACTGTATTTTGATTTTGAACATCTTGCACTTTCCATATAAATGATTTTACCTGTAGTACATGATTTTTAAAAACATCTTTTGTTTGACATTGTTCGACTGAAAGTGGTAGATCATTCCATAGACAAATACTGTACCAGTACTGTATGCACAATTAATCAACCTAAGAACATTACATAGTTTACTGTATGCACCGTCGGTCAGTAATATACTGTTTGATTTTGTTGGTGTTTATTGTCTCAATACAGAAGGCACCAATACCTGAAATGTACAGAACAGGAATTAACACACATAGGCTACACCATCTCACACATATACTAGTACACACACTCCAATGACTATACCCTTGGAACAGTACACATAGCATTCAGCTTTTTATTTAGCTAAATATGCATACTGTTCTGTATATGGTATATACCACTAATGAAGTAACAGTCAGGTGTTGCAGATTGGAAGAGCTATTTCAAAATGTTGGAATATGAGAACCAGATGTTGCTGGATCTTCTGCATGAAGATGGTCTCCTCGTGGCAGCCAAGTAAGTTTGTGTTTTGTAGTACGGAAAATGTAAAATGGAACACCTGCAGATTCATCCCCCAGCTTATTTCACCTGAAGATTCATCCCTCCAACTCTTTCACCTGAAGATTAATCACCCTTATGCTCCCTAGGGAGTTTTAAGTTAATCTTAAGGTGAAATAAGCTAGGATGTGAATCTTAAAGTGATTCTGTAAAACCATCATTAGTTATTATCTGCATATCTTTGTACAATACATACTCTATGTGATGTTGTAGACGAAACAAATCTAAAAGTATTTATTTCATATACATTTTATGTGAAACTTTCTTACTTTTCTTTTTTTCTTTTATCCTCTTCACCACTGATCGGCTCATTAGCCACTTGGGTAGTCAGTTACGTCTCTGTTACGCACGGCTGGCAAGTACTGGGAATGCATTGACTCCTGAATGTATTAGAACCTGCTCCAGTGCTGGTCAAGTTTGGTCTTGAAAGAGCTCACACTCGATGTCGTCACAACACTGGCAAGTTGTTCCACAAGTTTACAACTCTCGCTCCAAAAAAAGTTAGCCTTTACAGTTTTCTGGACTTGTGGTCTCTTTAACCTTGAGCTGTGATCCCTTGTGGGGCGAGCATCAGCCAGCTCCAGGTGTGGACACTTGACTTGAGTAGTGCCTTTGAGATGTTTATACACCTCAGTTAGGTCGCTCCTTGCCCGTCTATAGTATAACCTAGGCAATTGCAGGCACTCTAATCTCCCCAGGTAGTTGAGGTGCCGAAGTACAGGCATTTTCAATCAACTGACAGTCCCTAGCATATCTCGGGGACCAGGTAGTGACAGTACTCCAGGCGAGGAAGCACCTCACTCTTGAAGAATATTATGAGGGAATGACCGTCAAGATATCTGAACGACCTTCTTATATGACTTAATAATTTAGTTGCTTGATTCACCTTCCTCTCACAATGGCCTGAGAACCTCAGTTCATTGTCAACATACACACCCAGGTCCTTTTCGCATTCAATCTCAATTAATGTGGTTTCTTCGTCCCGTTGGAACATATGATACACCACCTTACCGTTAGTACGCCCCAGGTGCATCCTCTTACACTTCGTGACAATGAAACTTAGCAGCCATTTCTTCGACCATTCTTGAAGCTCACA